GATGGTGTGACAAAGTCACTAATTGAATAGAAAGACAACAAGAATAATAACAAAACAACGGAAAATTTATCAATATCGTCTTTCCGTTGCCGTTATTAAGTCAATTTTCTCAGCATTAGGTAGAAATTGTAACTTAAATGTTTAGATATGACACAATAGAAAACCTGATATATTATGATTTCTTGCTATAAAATTTAGAATACGACATACCCATTTTATCCGGGTTACTTTTTCATGCGTATTCATAAGTTCTCCACGATAAAAAAAACAATAGAATGATTATTTAACACAAGTTTCCTTGAATATTACGAAAATTGCTTATATATCATCTAGACAAACAATATGGACAAAAATGCAGAAATGCCATTCGCATCTCTTGTGTCATACAAAACTACAACTGAATGTTAATACCAACCTCGAAAACCCAATTCATTCAAAAAGTGATCAGGTTAAGAAAATTCACTCGACGTTCATCTAAAAATTATCAGATATATGAAAATTACGGTTTTTATTTAATTATTGGGAAGTGCATCTTCCCATCTGAATTTTGACATTGTTTTCTATTATTTCGATCGCTTCTAAATTCAGGCGCTTAACATCACTGACAAGTCTTAGAAAGACGAAACAGTTGTCTGATGCAGTTATTAAGCTCCACTGTATCTGACTATAGATTTGTATTAAAAGGTGCTATTCACTCGCCTGTCTGTTGTAAATCTTACAGAAGGCAATGGTCATTAATATGCGATAAACAATGTAAGATTGATAGAAAGATGGTTAATTACGTCACTTTGTGGTAAACATCCTGGTGCATAAATATCGTGTGATTTTATGCCACAGGGACCTGGCACGAATTTCCAGTCCACGGTTAAAATATATGTATTATTGTTACTGTAATACATATATATGGATCGTGAGTTGGAAATTTGCGACACGCCCCTGTGTTTCCGACAGTACGAAAAGGCCATATTACCCTATTTCCGCAAACATCTTCAGAAAAAAACTCTTTCTGATAGAATGAGAGGTAAATTGGAAGTGCGTAGAACATTAACATTAGTACAAAAAATGGAATATCTATCCTTTGTTATAAAGAGCAACTACCGCGCTGAAGTGAGCCTGACTATATTCAAGAGAAGTAAGGCGACGATACAATTATGTTAACATCCCTCTCTACTTTTCGTCCTCTTTGCTGTTATATCCTAATGAATATTTGACACATTGGTTTTATTTTGCAGGACCAGTCAAGAATGAGAACAATCAAGAACATTTGTCGAACTGTGGTCGGAATTTTGGTGCTAGTTGTTATTGTACATAATGGTACGTTTGCTGTTATATCTAAATAGTACAATCCCGTTGTCCTGTTTTTTTTTTTTTTTTTTTGTCGCCTTCTCTTCCTTTATCCACAGTTTTTGTATCGACATGAAGAACAGAACAACAATATGTTTCAGTTTGATTCATGATTTGGCTTTGCTGTTTCTATCTCGCAGTTTGTATTGAAAGCAGCTATTCACTTATATGTCTTTTGTTCAATCATTGAGATCGCTGGTGGTAGACACTACTGGCGGACATATACTTCGTGGGGATTCCCGAACCTCTATTCCACATTTTTATCCATACAATGTATCTTTGAAATCAATGGACATATGGAAAACATGAAATTTATTGAATTTATGGGCTAATACCACTTCACATTTAGACATTTCTTCTATCAATTTTGATTTTCCTAAATAGCTTCTTACATTGTGTAGATTTGGACATTTAGGCCCTCAGCATTACTGACGAACCCTAGAAGAACGAAACGGTTGTGTGCTGCAGTTTGTTGAATTAATTGTCTTCACTGTATCTAATTATGTATTGAAAGTTTCTATTCATTTATGTGTATTATCTTGTGATATAGTCTTTTATTTGTTTTTCTCAAGAATAGCATCAACAAATGTGTTTTTGACTGTAGTAAAATCTTTATATTAGATTTTGAAATCACATATATTATGAAATCAACAATTGAAGCGATGTTTGTGGCTCATGCATAAAGAAAAGAAACTTTACAAGAATATGTTTGACAGAAAAAAAACTACATAGGCTCTGTTTCCTTTGTTTAGGCTTTAATAATTAGTAAATCCTCATTTTTATATTTCTCATATAAGATTTATTTTTCTTCATTTAGCTTCCACACGTTCTCGAGCTGGTCTTTGTCCGCACCCACTTTTGGCTCAGCGAAATTGGTCTTTAAGATGTTTGTCCGATTGTGCGAACGACTTCCATTGTCAGCCTTACCAGAAGTGTTGTTCCTATGACTACTGTGCCAGCTGTATAGATATCATTCCGAAGTGTGGTGATCACGTGGATCGTACGTCACATCCGCCAGGAGCAGGAAAATGTTTTTCCCAGTGTGACCTCGACAATCCATGCCCACTAGGCGAAGCCTGTTGTAGGGATGGATGTAATAGTTATTGCTACGGACCGTTTAAATATTATTTACAAACAGTAATAAATGATTAGCTACTAAAATAGTCCTTTATTGTATTTTCTACCTTTTTAATCCGATTAAACGTTTTACACGGAGACTCTAAAAAGAATTAGGAGAATAAGACCAGAAGCTCTGAAAGGATGTAAGGCATTTATTTCATCAATGACACCAGTCCTCTATTTCTACGTCTAATTAAACTAATGCGACGTTGAGCTCCATATATGCAACAAAACAGCCAGCAGACATACAATCAAGAAATTACCACATCTTCTTATATCACGATTACAAAGCCTACAACTGTACAACGAATTATTCTCGGCAAGTAAACACTGCGATGTTTTCTTCATGATGATAATGTATGACAATGTTGGTGATGATTCGTCATTGTAATTTCTTATTTTCCTTTATGGTTCCTCTCTGTGACTTTTCTCTCCTGTCATCCTCGCACTATGGGTATGATTTTATTAATGTGTTGTGCTCGGTTGTACTACAGCCTAAAAGTCCTGTAAATAAATACCATATTGTACACTGTATACCTCATTGGATTTACAATTCACAATGGTCATATATCAGGATAGTCATTAAAATATCATGCATAATTTCCTAATTGGTTGTGATATACATATACGAAAATTCACATTAAATTCGCCAAGTTTACCGTATAAATAATATCTATACGTACATGGAAATTACTTTTGTTACTTTGTGCATTTTGTTTGTTACCTGTTTTAAACATATTGCTGATCACGTAGGAAATGTATGCACCATGCCGTCAAGACCGAAGTTCTTAGTAACAGGACTTAAAGTTTAGTACAGAAGGTAAACAGACACGAACCTAACATTATAATTTTGTATACTGTCTTAAATTCCACCAATAACATAACAATCTTACTAAACAAGTGCACAGAACATAACGTTGAAATTGACATACAAGTACAATTTCATCCCTGTAGATTTTTTTATATTCAGCGTCAAGTGGCTTGTATCGCATGACAACAAGAAAACCGAGCAACAACGATGTTATTACGATTACTATTAATGAAATGATGTGCTGTGACCAATACAAATTGCCAACTAAATCAATCCATAAAATTTGAAAAGCGGATAAAAAAAACACCATGCATTCTAACTAGCTTCGAGACCAATTGATGTCGACTAGAGTTGGTCACATAACCTTTATATATATATGTAACCATATATACAAACATGTACTTACATTCCTCTAAAATATTAGACTCTAAAATTATTAATTTTACATAGTTATGGGGCTAGTGTAGCCCTAGTCTACCTTTCCTTAGACAATTTTGATTTACCACAATTGCCACAAACATTTGGCCCTTAGCATCACCTAGAAGGATGAAACACATGTACGATGCAGTTTAAATCATTGGTCGACTTTCCCGTGAATTGAAAGCATCGTGATTATCACACAGGTTAATGTAGAGTTGTCCCAGATTGATGTATTATATAAGAATACCTTGTCAATTCATACTTTCGAGACAGTCTTTTTTCACAGTACATTGAATCAAACAGCATCAGAGTAAACATTTTATCAATCGCTTTATTATTTATTTTTACATGGAAAATGTACAAAATGCCTTTTGTAGAGATTGCGAGTTTCTAACTTCTAGTTGTAAACAAACTTCTGCAGTACAATTTGGTATCAGGTCTAGGTTATCGTTTGATTTTCAAACGATCGTATTCAGACACAAGGTACCGGTCGATACTTTTATATTCTGTGAATAGTCCCTGATACAATGTTAAAGATAAATTAGACATGTTATCAGAAGGTCCACAAACTATTGAAAAAGCAGTTCTCCACCAGAGCAAACAAAGGTTTGGCGGAAGAAGTTATATCAACACCGTGGTTCGGTGTGGTGACACCTAGATAAAACACCATGTTAGCGAGTTGTACACTTTATAGTTATCATATGTAACAGTATCGACTGCTGTATGGGATAGTTACTTTGCAGTGGAAGAAAATGTGACTGTATAGTATTCATCTTAATGTGAAACTACAGAACCAGGTAAGTTTAGATATGATACACATATGGCATAGACACTGCTAGAAATTTAAAACTTTTTGAATGACTTCCTATATAACAGTGTTTAAAGAGCAATTTGTATGCTAAACGTCTCAAAGAATGGTGACGCACATCTGAGAAAGCGCGATCCTTTTTAAAGTTGCACTATGAATACTGCAGAGTAAAAGGTATAGTCATGACACATTTGTAATATTACTTAGTCGAACTGTGATTTGCTGAAGGTTCCCTTTGTTTCCATTGTCACCTGATGCTCGGTAAGACTCTGTTATCTATTAGTCAGCAGATTTCCATAAGATTTTATCTGTCACGATCAACATAATCGTCTCATAATGTAGTCAGGGCTGGTTATCTTATTTCATTTTATTATTAGGTAAGCAAAAAGTTAAAATAAAAAAAAATAATAGAATTAAGAGGCTGTCTGATTATCTTTTAAAGAAAAAATGCTTACTAGGTAATTTATTTCACTCTCTTTGCAGGTGACACATTTCACTATGGCGGCAGCTTATCACGGTGACGATACGAGATCAAATGACACATCACGTGAGTCTTAAATTGTTACTTTAGTGATCATTTGTTCTATACTGTCTGAGAAAGTGGTATTCTTTTTAACAGGGACACCAATGATTTGGTATCATATCCGTTCATGTTCAATCAGCTTCTGAAAATGTAAAATTCGTAATTTCCTTTTCTGATTCTAACAAAATTGATAATTGCTCATATTTCGAGACAATGCAAATGAACGAATGATATACAGTTGTCAATGTTGACAATAAAAACAAATCCAGATTACACATATTGTTACTGTATGCTGTAATTTGAAATTTACTTTGACTTGTTACCAGTAATATGTAAAATGTAGTAGGATTTTTTAAATGGTGTCTAAGTAAACGGAATAAATATCATCATTTAAGGGTTGACCATAATTTGCTAGTCACAAATGCAATACCTGTTAACACACAGATACACAGGTAATGTACACTACAATACTCTAACAATGTAGCTCTTGGTTCGATATTCAATGGTTTGTCCCAAATATCACGATTGTCTTGCAAGATGTTGGCAACTGACAGACTAACGTACCAGACAGAGGTTCGAAAGATTCAGGTAGACAAAGATTATGAGAAAATGTTATGTTCGTCAATGTGATTTCACTAGGAAATATTGTGTTCCATTTACGAACGTTAATGTGTTTTACAGACAAAACATTGCATGACAAACAACGTCGTTGAAGCAGAAGACGCCTACCCTTTCAGAACACGTTGAATTATTCTCCATTGTACGTTTTTATGTTTGAGTTAAAGATTTTGATGCCATATCGATATTTTCATTGTTTTCGTTTGGCATATCTTTGATGTGATTTTTTTTCTTCTTATCTAGGTGATGTGACAAATGCTCTGGAAGTTCTATCGGAAGAGGAGAACAAGGATTTCCAGGACTTCAGGAAAAGTTTAGGGTAGGACTGCTGCTAAACATTGAAAAATATCTGTAGAATTACAACTCAATGTTAGGATAGTTCAACGATTACACTCATCTAACTGTAGACACTCTACTCACCAAACATTTATAAATGTGTAGAACTACTCTGCTGCAGATATGATTTTAAAAAAGCCCTTCTATGTGATATATTGGCCTCACATCGACAAACCTACAGATCAAAGAGTCAAAGTAACTAAATTGTCTCATGTAATATCTTATTTTATAAAGTAATGGATATCGAATCATAACCTGAGGACAAGAAAATTATATTTAATCATAATATATATTCACTTTTATTTTAAGTAGAAGCGGGCCTCATTAATTGATTTAATTAACTTGATCTTATCATTCAACGACAAAGGTAATAGTGGAAGTGGATATGCCCCCTCTATAAAAATAAATCAATTGTGGGGGTTAAAATAAATTTAGATTTTAATACGTCTAAGTGAGACTAATCTGAATCTATCTAGTTTTTCTTTTTCTTTTTTAATGGTATTTTTGGTATTTTGGAAAGTCATTCTTAATATCGTGACACATTCTGAGTTCAGTTCCCACTCGTTATGTTTATAAAGGTCCTATGCTATTCTGTACTCCTGTTCTTTTATTCCATGACCAGTCAATTATCGCCTAGTTATTAATTTTCGTGTTGAGCATAATTGAAGTCAAGAAAAATAAGGATTCAGAAAAAAATTCAAAAGAATAAGATAAATTGATGGTTAAGTGTATATTATCCTACGTAGTTATTCAGTTGTTGAATATACTGATTCGGATTTGTGCAACTTTACTCCCTAACACGAAAGTGACATTTGTTTGTGACAACCGACACTAACATTTCGTCCTGTGTAAACATTATTTAAGCCGCATTTCGGTGACAAGAAATTTCGAGATTCCTGCATTAACAGCTTTGTCGCGTTATTGGTGATTTTTCACACTTTCAACATTACAAAATTTGGAGAAGGAAATCTCTATTGATCTTGGTATGAGTTTGCTAGTCTCTCAGTATAACGACGGAACGTATTTCCTCTCTTATCTTGGAAGAACGCAGTTAATCTTAATGATAATGCAATATATAACCATATGAATTATGTTGTACGTCCTGCTCCGGTTTTGCGCAGAATGAGACCTTAACGTTGCATGTTTGTACTGAAAGCGATAAGTATACAAATGTATTTATTTTGCATGAGACAAATCGAAGTCAGAAGTACTTCAAACTATATCTTTTATTCACAGGATCGTCGGAAGTTTTACCAAACAGATGGTGAAACTCGCCATTGATCAGTTGAAGCCAGAATTTGAGCGAATGGCAGAGCAAGCAGCAGACCGAGCAATGGATTCGAAGTCACAGAAGGTCAAGGAGCTTCAAGATGAACTGAACGGCCGTGAACGAGACCTCAAACAAATGAAACTAGAGAAAAAGATCCTACAGGCAAAACTCGAGAAAGAGATGTGTAACCGAGAAATAGTGGATGTAGTTGATATAAAAGAAAAGGACATTAAACGTATGGAAGTCGAAATAAACAGCCTCAAGAGCAAGCTGAAGAGGAAAGCAGACGAGCTTAAGAAAGAGCGGGAAAGGGCAACAGACGAGGAAAACAGGCGAATGGAGGTTCAGGCATCACTTCAGACGGAGATAGATCGACTGAAAAAAGAGCTTGATAAAGTCAAGGGTCTTCTTGGACAAATCCGTTCTGCGAAAAATGTCGGAAACGAGGAAACGCGAAAGTTACGTGAACGTGAACGTCAGCTGATTGATGAAATTGAGGACTTGAAAAAACAACAGCCAAAACTTCGGAGGAAAGTAACACGTTAACAACATATGCTGGTACAGGATTTAGTGTGTATCAGAACAAAACATGTGTGTATGTGTATCGTTTGACCAATACTGTGATTATTCTCCCTATTATCCATCTAATGAATTCCGTGGTTATTCTTTATTATGAACAATTCTGAAGTTAATCTTAATCAGATCAATATTGCGCTGATGCTTCATCTGATCAATACTTTGTGATGATTTTTCATCCTGCCAATACTGTGACTCTTCTTCATCTAACTTATACTGTGATTATTCCTCATCTGATTAAAACTGTGACTATGCTTCATCTGATTAACACTGTGACTACTCTTCAGCTGATCAAAAATGTGATTATTCTTCATCTGATTAATACTGTGATTATTCTTTATATGCGGTTGGTGACTGTTTATTTACCATTTTAACATCTCCAGCCATGTAAACAGAAAAATGATGAAATACTTTTTATTTGACACCAGTAGGTTTTTAAAGTATCTAGAAATGACATGAACCGTTTAGAAAGGTATTATGTAGAGTAGGGCACTCTGGTAGAAATTTCAAAAAAAAAAAAAAAAAAAAAACTTAGGCTAGATTTACAATGTTTGCGGCTGTTGTTATACCAAACTTCTGCTGTTACATAGTAACATGAGTACGTAGTACATGTACATTGAAACAACATATATTAAGGTGAAACTGTTCACTTCTGTAGCGATTATGGAAACTCATATGTAAAATAACTATATGGTTGTGATCTCCATCATATACGAACGTTTGAGTTACATTAGCCGCGAGTGAAGAGAGTTGCCAATGTCTCTGGGATTTATGTCGGATTGGTATTTAGGAAACAACAAAACTGCCAAAGATAATAAGACTAAAGTTTTCCATTTCCGCAACGGGGCTTTCACGTGTTCCAAGTATCCTTCCAAATATGGGTGGATTTATATCAACATAACAGAGAATCACTGTTATCTAGGATTCAGGATTCGGTTACAGCAAAGTGTGCACAGCCTGATCAGCTAGCCGTGAATTAGGTAATTTCATCTAAATATACATTACATGAAGTCTGCCGACTGCTACATACTTTACGATAAGAAAATCTGCTGAAGTTATGGGACTGATATAAAGGGAACACGTGACTATTCCCTGTGACAATAATGTAACAGCTCGGTACAATACTGTTCCAGTCGTTTCTTCTTAGGAATCGGCAAATCAATAATGAATATTGTGGTAAATCGTGACTGTAAATGTTTAGTGGTGTTTTAAAATAAGAAAATAAGTAAGGTGATTGTAACACTCTTTAGGTGCTTGATGTGGAAAGAAATCCAGTAATATTGATAATGATTTAATGTCATGTTGTAATGAAATATATCTTCTTTCTAGGTTTCTTTAAGAACATTGTCATGGCACTGGTGTATATTTCAATGAAACGTAGATGCTTAGTTCGTCGATAATGTTACTGTTGTTCAGACATATACCACCTGTTTTTAAATGTTCTTTTATCAGTCCCGACATGTTTAGGATAATATGTTTAGAGCTGTTTTTAAGGATTCAATTGAATAAAACTACAGTTTTTTAAAAGTTATATAATTTTGTCCTTAGTTAAGAATTAAATACTTTCGTACATTTCATGCAAAGTTTTTAATCATTGTTATGTTTATATATATATATATATATGTATCGATGTCTTTATTTGATAAAATATCTGTATCTGTACCTGTATTTACTGTGATGAAGTGAGTTATATACAAGTACATATGGCAATTTTAGCCAGCTGTTGCCAATGTTCAGATGTAAATGATAAATGAGGATTTTGGTGTTTTGCCGACACAAACGTTTTATATCCCTATATCTGAGGTCATGGCAGTACATTTTTGGTACAATTTGAAGCTTGTTGACAACCCTACTTTCTTTAACAAAATTGTTCTGCTCTGACAAATCTGACATTTTATAACGTATGCTTTTTATGTATCACTTTTCTTGCTATTTTTGTATGAATTATGATTATGTTACCAATGGAAAAACATCAGGGTCGCACAAATAACAATCAGCTAAGCACTGAATCTGTTAACGATTCCAGGGGGGGTGATCTTGTGACCAATTTAATGAGCGGCGAAGCAGTTCTTGTTGTCTCAAGATCAATTCAATTCATCACCCCATGGAATCGACAACAGCGAGAATCGATGCTTATTTAAATTAAGACGGTTTCTTTTCAATATTTTGAACAAATATAAGTGTGTAGTTACTAGAACTTGTGCAAGTCTAATGGACTGGGTTTAAAATGTCGTCCAATATTTTAATTAGATGATGATTAAAAAGTATTACCCAGGCAAAATTCGATTATACCACACATTGATTTTGTCAATGTATTTATGAAATTATGAAAAATCTCCGACAACTACGTGGAGTCTATACCGAGTTCTGTCGCCTCATGCTTCGAACTAGGCCGCAGCCATTTTTAAATTGTCATGGAATGTGTTTTTGACCTTTCACAGAAGCCTATGTATCCATGACATCAAGAACTTAATCAAGAAGCGGTTCTGTATCAGAATCGCTCAGTGGATCGACGCTCTCTGCCTTGTTGGAGATTTTCATTTTCAGGCAGTGGTAGGTTAAACATTGTGTCAGTAGACGACAACGATTGCAAGACATCAAGAGGATATCAACACTTGGAAAACAAATCAGTTTTGCTGGAAATTACTATAATATCGTATTTGGATTTATACAATATTTGTTATATACATAAATTTCCTTGATTTATCTATATTCTGCAAATCTTGAGGAAATTTTAATAATTTTATTTACTGTTTAGCATTAAATATTTGTGAAGTTACTCTCCCTTAAAAGTATCGGTATGGCATGTGTTCATACAGTTGTACGTCCAGATCAAATTTGTGGACAAATAAACCAGGCTGAATTTGGTATTGAAACTTGAAATTGAAATATTTCTTTATAAACAATTAGTCAAAGATAATTAATAAAATATGAATCTTAAACTCCTAGAATTATCACATATATATCGTGATATAGGATACTAGGGAATGAAACCGTTCCTGTGTTTTCTCATATCAAATTTATATTTCCTTGCGAAACACACGACACGGCATGCACAAAAATCAAACATTTATTATGATCATTGTGATTTTACTGTGAAAATAAAGCTAAATATCTTTATAAAGATTAGAAATTGAATGCCCTCTAAATGAATAGGCAAATTAAATTCCAAAATTAAGCTGTTACAAAGATCAAAGGAAGGCGTTCTTAAATGGTACGTCAGATTTACAAAATGCTTTGGTCTTCCGCTCAAGCTGGTATAAGTGAACAATTATAAGAATAATTGCATAAATACATTTCATTTACTGAAATAGTTATCCTAAATTTAGTGCGATGTGTCAGTGAATCAAATCAATACAACACGTAAAATTGAAAGGTTAAATCTATTTGTATCATTACATTCATCACTCGTCAAGTACATTTCTGAAATTTAGAAATTTATGTACATCTACAAGGATATTTCCATATTCATTTCGAAACGTTTCAGGTGTAGTCTTGTGAGACTCCGCATATCTCCGTGTGTCATTAACTCTATTCGAAGATAATTTTACAAACCTTTTACTAACATTATTGTAACGATCTATCATCACAGAGGTGGTATATACATGATGAACAAGGTGTACGGGCGATCATTATGTATTACCACTATCTCTGAGAAAAGTACATACACATGAGACCGATGGGTTTCGAGAATTTCTTTCTTTCAAATTCGGAAAAGTGACGCCTCTCTAAAGACTTCTCAAAGTCGACAAATCCATTGTAAGTAATGGAATTAATTGTTTTTCATTGCTCTTTAAATAGATGCTCCCCCCCCCCCCCCGAATTAACGTAAATTCTGTTGGATGAAAATAACGTCAAATTGAAAAAGGGATTGCCGTTATGTAACTGAAAATTTCACTAATCATAATTATTGTTATTTAAAAAGCAACGACGAACAAAACTAAACTTTTGAATTACTCAGTAATATTTTTACTGTTATTTCGTTACAGTGAAACAAATTGAAGAAAGTGTGGTTTTAAATCGAAATGATAATTCAGAGTAAAATTAGGTCGTGATATTATACCGTGTCATGCGTTTATGCAAATGCTACTTAGTAACCTCCAATGCAGTTATATATATAACTGCTTGTGAATATCATTATCAATCGGTTTTGTTATACTGCATGGAAGTTGTACTTTATTTGATCTTAGGCACGAGGTCTGAAGCAAAACATGGAAGCAGGCAATGATTACAGTGTCCCAATTAATGAGTATTAATCTTAAATACACAGTTTATCTACTCGGATCTACAGTAAAACAATTCAATGCTGCAAGGGAGACAACTTTTTATTCAGACGTGACACTCTTTTTCAGTTATTATCATGTCTGATCATTTGGTTAAACTCTCACAAAGACATTTCCATGTAATTGAATCTATTAAAGAGTACTGACGTCGAATGTGCATCTGATTGCAAACGTTAAGGAGAATAATTAATAAACATGATTATTTGAAGGTTTTCAGGAAAACACACAGGGATTTGGTCATCTTGTCTTTCATTTGGTATTTTAGCGACTTTTTGTTTATTTTTTTAAAATTTTTTTTTAATGTGGAACAAAATCCATCGTACCTTTCACAATTTCATACTCCTGGGAGCGATGTCAAACCACATACCGTATCCCTACTCTCATATATAGTATACATAAATCAGATAATTTATAACATATTCTAAAGCTTCTACTACTTAACAACATTTTTCTGATTTGATGCGAGAGTTTATAAATTCTTTGGTGATAATTAGACGAAATATCAATTCATAAGCTGCTTACTGTAAATGTTCACGGTGTAAGTATTGTTTCGAGTTGTTGTCGATAATTATCACTAATTCTCTAGGTAACTAGATGTTACTGAACTGGTAATTTTCGTCATCACTGTAGGGGTGGGGTTGATAGTTTTATCGGAAACACTCAAGCCGAAGCTTTGATATTTGAATC